TATGGAGATCGCCTTAAATCATTAGGGTTACCCAGTCTTCAGTACCGGAGAAAAAGAGCAGATGATAAACAACTATATATAATCATGAATAACATTGATATTGTGGACAAGGACAAACTATTCACAATGTCCCTTATTACAACTACTAGAGGACAAACTAAAGAGCTCTTGAAACCAAGGCCAAGGTTAAATGTAACAAAGAACGGATGGAACATCAGAGTTGTGGACACCTGGAGCAGTTTAGTTGTTATAGTGTTGCCGCATCAAAACTAAGTTTAACAAGGATACGCCTATAGAAGAGTTGAAGGGCTTAACAGGATATTAAACTGACATAATTGACAAAAAATACTATCATCTTTTTGTAGATAATATGTGGATTCAATTTCCCAGAAGGCTTTCACGCATGGGTTTGAAATAAGGGTTTAAAATAAGATAGTAGATCTGAAGTCAACACGTTTCTTTTAGATGGTCTATTTTTTTAATTTTTTTTTGTACAAGCAAATAATCTGCAGAACAGATAGTATCAAGAAAACGTACAAATGTACCCCGAAACCAACACTTACTCCTAAACGGACGCGTACACCGACTCATAAGTACACTTACTCCTAAACGGACGCGTACACCGACTCATAAGTACACTTACTCCTAAACGGACGCGTACACCGACTCATAAGTACACTTACTCCTAAACGGACGCGTACACCGACTCATAAGTACACTTACTCCTAAACGGACGCGTACACCGACTCATAAGTACACTTACTCCTAAACGGACGCGTACACCGACTCATAAGTACACTTACTCCTAAACGGACGCGTACACCGACTCATAAGTACACTTACTCCTAAACGGACGCGTACACCGACTCATAAGTACACTTACTCCTAAACGGACGCGTACACCGACTCATAAGTACACTTACTCCTAAACGGACGCGTACACCGACTCATAAGTACACTTACTCCTAAACGGACACTGTCTTTTGATTTTGAATAGCAGCAAGATTGGACACAAGTTTTTAAACTTCTATAGAATTTATTCCGTGAGACATTGCAATAGAAAAGTGTAACAATTGCAAGAAAGAAGCTTCAGAATTATTTTACTAAATTATATACGTGTGTGAGCAATTATGTAATCTAACCTTATAACAGTTGACACGCAGACACTTACACATTCACACACATACATCTCCACACAATTCTAGTTCACAGGCCAAGCACACTGAACAAGTGATATTTGTTGTGTACAGCTCTCTACTAGTTCACAGGCCAAGCACACTGAACAAGTGATACTTGTTGTGTATAGCTCTATACTAGTTCACGGCCAAGCACACTGAACACGTGATACTTGTTGTGTACAGCTCTCTACTAGTTCACAGGCCAAGCACACTGAACAAGTGATACAAGTGACACGTGTTATCCTTAATCGTATGTTCCACAATTTACGTAGTTGTTCCTGAACATGATTCACGCAAGCTCCCGTCTAGAAACTTCGTTTTTGGGTGTTCCACTCATCTCATTAGTCTTGGTAAACGTTATTTTTAACTTCGCCAGACGATTCTTTCATCATTTGTTGTCTGCATTAATTGATAAAAACGAAAGACATTGTAAAGTGAATCTTGCCTTTCTGACGTCAAATCTTCTAATGCTGAGCCCTGCTTTGAAGCACGTACACATGACGTTTCCCCAATTCAAGATAATCCGTATCTCATGGGGAGCACGTAGGACGATTCTGGTTTCTGAAGTAGCTTTTATCAAATCCATGTCCACCTTTTGAAGCAAATTTATGAAGCCTTAGTTAGTGCACAATAAATGGTCGGCCACCAGTAAAGATATTATGAAGTTAAAAGGGAGAATAACTGTTACGTCATAATGTGTTACCTGGCACACCCATCTCATTCATACATGTATTTCCAGACTCTTCAGTACAATTCTGAACGTCTTCTGGAAGGCTTCAGGCCCGTTTACACACGCCGACAGCGAACTCATTAGTAAACACAGCTAAACGTTTTGCCGAATAAACAAAGGAAAATGAGATGTTATGGACTGTTGACATCGTAATGAAATATCTACCAGCGATAAATCAAGGCAATAAACTCTGTAATACGCATAATATACATATGAAATAAGTACATGTACACCTGGGATTTCCCCAAAATGTTTGCTGCTCAATCATAGTTTGTTTTACACAAGTTTCTGTAAGATAAAACCTTAAAAATAGAGTAAACCCGGATCCTTGTCGAGTCTCAGCCCTTCTGGAGAATGAAAGTCCACAAAACGTATTCAATAGACAACTGCTTTTTACAGAAATGTGTGTTGTTTAGTCCACTATAAGAGCAAAACATTTAGCCTTCATTCATTTTTTCTACGATATGGTCGGTAAATGTAGGCCGCGCATGGGATATTTATGCTTATCGTTTCTCAAATCTGCTATTCGAAGTAGTTCTCGACAGAAACGTGTATGCCATAAGCGGTTTGCAGACATTATTGTTCAAACTAAGAGATTTCATTAAAGGATCACAGACATTGTGGAGACATTTTGACATAGTGCATATGGAAACAAAGTGCCCAACCACTGTCAATCCAGCGCTTCTGTGCAGCCAACACTGTCAATCCAGCGCTTCTGTGCAGCCAACCACTGTCAATCCAACGCTTCTGTGCAGCCAACACTGTCAATCCAGCGCTTCTGTGCAGCCAACACTGTCAATCCAGCGCTTCCGTGCAGCCAAACGTGCTGCACCTCATTGTCCAGGACAGGTTTATTGTAGTTCAATGTTTGTGACAAAAAAATCGTCAAGGAGAACCCAACTGCGGGCTTCGACGCGGGCAACTTGGAATGCGTTGCGCAATGTAACTGGATTGAGAGGTCCTCGAATAGGTGAAGACGCTTTCTCTGGTAATACGGGCACGACTTGAACACGTAAGCTTTCTCTGGTAATACGGGCACGACTTGAACACTTACGCTTTCTCTGGTAATACGGGCAGGGCTTGAACGCTTACGCTTTCTCTGGTAATACGGGCACGACTTGAACGCTTACGCTTTCTCTGGGAATACGGGCACGACTTGAACGCTTACGCTTTCTCTGGTAATACGGGCACGACTTGAACCCTTACGCTTTCTCTGGTAATACGAGAACGACTTGAACACTTACGCTTTCTCTGGTAATAAGGGCACGACTTGAACACTTACGCTTTCTCTGGTAATAAGGGCACGACTTGAACACTTACGCTTTCTCTGGTAATTCGGGCACGACTTGAACACTTACGCTTTCTCTTGTAATTCGGGCACGACTTGAACACTTACGCTTTCTCTTGTAATACGAGAACGACTTGAACACTTACGCTTTCTCTGGTAATAAGGGCACGACTTGAACACTTACGCTTTCTCTGGTAATTCGGGCACGACTTGAACACTTACGCTTTCTCTTGTAATTCGGGCACGACTTGAACACTTACGCTTTCTCTTGTAATACGAGAACGACTTGAACACTTACGCTTTCTCTGGTAATACGGGCACGACTCGAACACTTACGCTTTCTCTGGTAATACGAGAACGACTTGAACACTTACGCTTTCTCTGGTAATACGGGCACGACTTGAACACTTACGCTTTCTCTGGTAATACGAGAACGACTTGAACACTTACGCTTTCTCTGGTAATACGGGCACGACTTGAACACTTACGCTTTCTCTTGTAATACGGGCACGACTTGAACACTTACGCTTTCTCTTGTAATACGGGCACGACTTGAACACTTGCCAGTGTTTTCGAGTTATGTTGGGTGATGGTGAACTTAATATGGAATCCTGGACTGGAGCTAACTTTATCAAGATGAGGAGCGATGGGACGATCATTTATGAATCAGAAGCTGTTTCTCCAGTTGAAATTTTAAAAAAAGAGAGTAAAATTCCCCTTTCTGAATAGATTACCAGTATCAAGCCACAGGCATACACAGAGTTTGGTTGAAGGAGGCTTGGGTGGGTTGGTTTGTGTGTTGTTATATCACCAACCAACAATAAAACCTTTCCGTCTAGCCACTGTTGAGGTTTCCCTTCATTTCAGCAAGGTCACAAAGCAAGTTACATTATAATATATTTCATTAAGTTTTACCGTGTAGCTAGGTAAAGCTCAACACGGAAGTCTTATGCAAAGCTGTCATGCGTTACAATGAACTACCACCTAAGGTCCAACAAATACTGTTCATTACACAGTAGCTTCTTATACCTGAATTCATATGCGAGTGTTGATAATCCAGGACGTGTGGATCCGCTATACTAGTATAGAACAGCTTTGTTTTGTAGACATTTCATAACAATGATTGACTTGGAATTAATTCCTGATGGAATCCTATGGACAATGGTAATATGTTTCTTACTGACTATAGTCTATATGACAGGTATCTCTATATGGACGATTGACAGGTATTCTGCCATGTATACACTAGCCAAACTACATGTATATATCAATACTGTCCGAGTAGGTACACATAATGTTATATTGTTAACTCACCTGTTTATATAAAGTATCAAGACTTTATAAGTGTACATTGCTGTTATAAATGTATCTGAACATATCTACAGTTTAATCAATGTGAGAGGAAAGGCCAGATCACGCATATCGGGGATGTTATTGATTCACCACGCATACTCACAAACACTAAGCTTGCAATGTCATGTCCATATGTTGCCAAAGCCTATGTTTATTTCCGAGCTGTGTTTCCGGATATATTACAGTCTATCAGTTGGTTGATGGCAATACTAAGCTAGGCAGTATACAACTTTCTTCTGATATAAAAGTTATTGCTAGCATTTGCATTCAATTTATGAAAAATATATATATATAAAACATTTGAAATAGCACCATATCTAGTTAGAATAAGCCACTTTAAAGCGCTTTACAGTACATATATATGCAATTGTTATATAAAACAATACAATAATGAACCTATACATTCATCAATACAATTTTAAGGAATTTGCAGGGGCTGCCTTATCAGGCGCTAACCAATAGTCCTATGTCACCTGGCTAATATCTCCCTGTGTGTGTTTGCCTGCGTGTGTGCTATCTCGCTATGAGGCTATCTCGTTGTACAAGGCTAGTGTTCCACGGTGGATTGACTCACTGATTCTGGTGTTATTTATAACTGATTATTTATTTATTGTACAAACATGATTTGCAGTGTAAGCAAAAAGACAATCTAACTAACTAAAAATATATACATGTATGCATTTCCGATGTAATGGCTTCTAAGTTATAAAAGGAACCATAACTATGATGATAACCTAAGTGCGAGATGCTTTTTAAGTCAGCACACCAATCATTACCTCAATCACATGCACTCTCCGTATCATTGTATTTTATTTTACAAACGGTAGCATAGCTACGGGGCCAGTCCGCACTGTACTCGTGTGTCAAACGGCCGACAGAGTACGTACGTAGCTACACACATCCAGAGGTACTGAACGGCTAGTCGCTTTCTAAACGCGTTACTCGCCATAAGAGCAGACAGAGAAGAGGATACCCACTGACGTTTGAGGCACCGTCTTCTAACATTCACATCTGGTTTGTAAGCAATCGACCACCATAACACGTACACGTATGTCTGTATGGATACTGTAACCTATGTATAATGTGTTGACGAAGTGAAGCTAACCGGGTCAAATGATGTACGTGTGAACCGGCCGGTGGCGGTGAAATGAACCAGATTATGCGAGCTAATTATTCTACGTACGCTTTTGGGCTTTTCTGAATGTGTACTGAACCGTAATTATAATGTTCCTTTCAGTATGAAAGATGTATACCCTATCGGAATTCTGTGTTTATTCGAGGGCAGTAGTAAAACACATTTACAGTTAATTATATACCCTTCTAGTGTATATTAATATACACATGTGTATCGGAATATTAACATACATATGTGTATGGAGATATGGACAATCACATGTGTATTAAAATATTGATTTGTATATGTGTATCGAGATGTTGACATGCAAATGTGTAGAGATATTGAATTACATGTGTGTATCGAGATATTTAATTACACGTGTGTATCGAAATATTGAAATACATCTTTGTATCGAGATATTGAAATACATCTTTGTATCGAGATATTGACATACATCTGTATATCGAGATATTGAAATACATCTTTGTATCGAGATATTGGAATACATCTTTGTATCGAGATATTGACATACATCTTTTTATCGATCGAGATATTAGCATACATCTGTATATCGAGATATTGACATACATCTTTGTATCGAGATATTGACATACATCTTTGTATCGAGATATTGAAATACATCTTTGTATCGAGATATTGAAATACATCTTTGTATATACATGTGAGTATCGACGTATTGAATGATAACCAGCTGTTTATATGTATTAAATATAAAAAAATGATGTTTTGTTTCAAACAACGTTATTACAGATAAATGAAAAATGTTCAACCGACAGCAGAGATGACGACAGACGTGCAATGGGTTTGGATCCGTGCCATTGATTGGGCGATATGGGTATAGTACAACTTAAATCTTTTGAATGGGGTACAATATATAATGTATCATGCGCATGCAGTATTACGTGGCATGGTACAAATATATCGGGAATGTATAATGTATATGTAGTGGTGAAGTGTCACAGTATAGGTAAAGTATAATGTGTAAGTAGTGGTGAGGTGCCACAGTATAGGTAAAGTATAATGTATATGTAGTGGGTAGGTGTCACAGTAAAGGTAAAGTATAATGTATCTGTAGTGGTTAGGTGTCACAGTATAGGTTAAGTATAATGTATAAGTAGTGGTGAGGTGCCACAGTATAGGTAAAGTATAATGTGTTTGTAGTTGTGAAGTGTCACAGTAAAGGTAAAGTATAATGTATATGTAGGGGGGAGGTGTCACAGTATAGGTAAAGAATAATGTGTAAGTAGTGGTGAGGAGCCACAGTATAGGTAAAGTATAAGGTATATGTAGTGGTGAGGTGTATATGTAAAGTATAATGTGACTGTAGTGCTGAGGTGTCAGGTAGGTGTCACAGTATAGGTGAAGTATAATGTATCTGTAGTGGGTGGTTGTCACAGTATAGGTGAAGTATAATGTATCTGTAGTGGGTAGGTGTCACAGTATAGGGAAAGTAGGATGTATCTGTAGTGGTGAAGTGTCCTAGTTTAGGTAAAGTATAATGTATATTTAGTGGGTAGGTGTCACAGTAAAGGTGAAGTATAATGTATATGTAGTTGTGAGGTGTCACAGTAAAGGTAAAGTATAATGTATATGTAGTGATGAAGTGTCACAGTATAGGTATAGTATAATGTATCTGTAGTGGTGAGGTGTTACAGTATAGGTAAAGTATAATTAATCTGTAGTGGTGAAGTGTCATAGTATAGGTAAAGTATAATGTATCGGTAAAGTATAATGTATATGTAATGTATATGTAGTGGGTAGGGGTCACAGTATAGGTTAAGTATAATGTATAAGTAGGGGTGAGGTGCCACAGTATAGGTAAAGTATAAGGTATATGTAGTGGTGAGGTGTCGCAGTATAGGTGAAGTATAATGTATCTGTAGTGGTTAGGTGTCACAGTATAGGTAAAATATAATGTGTCTGTAGTGGTGAGGTGTCACAGGATATGTAAAGTATAATGTATATGTAATGTATATGTAGTGGGTAGGTGTCGCAGTATAGGTGAAGTATAATGTATCTGTAGTGGGTGGTTGTCACAGTATAGGTGAAGTATAATGTATCTGTAGTGGTTAGGTGTCACAGTATAGGTAAAGCATAATGTATATGTAGTGGTGAGGTGTCGCAGTATAGGTGAAGTATAATGTATCTGTAGTGGGTGGTTGTCACAGTATAGGTGAAGTATAATGTATATGTAGTGATGAAGTGTCACAGTATAGGTATAGTATAATGTATCTGTAGTGGTGAAGTGTCATAGTATAGGTAAAGTATAATGTTCTTGTAGTGGTGAGGGGTCACAGTATAGGTAAAGTATACTGTATATGTAGTGGTGAGGTGCCACAGTATATGTAAAGTATAATGTATATGTAGTTGTGAGGTGTCACAGTAAAGGTAAAGTATAATGTATATGTAGGGGTGAGGTGTCACAGTATAGGGAAAGTAGGATGTATCTGTAGTGGTGAAGTGTCCTAGTTTAGGTAAAGTATAATGTATATTTAGTGGGTAGGTGTCACAGTATAGGTAAAGAATAATGTGTAAGTAGTGGTGAGGTGCCACAGTATATGTAAAGTATAATGTGACTGTAGTGCTGAGGTGTCAGGTAGGTGTCACAGTATAGGTAAAATATAATGTGTCTGTAGTTGTGAAGTGTCACAGTAAAGGTTAAGTATAATGTATATGTAGTGTTGAAAGTATAATGTATCTGTAGTGGTGAAGTGTCCTAGTATAGGAAAAGTATAATGTGTTTGTAGTTGGGAAGGGTCACAGTATAGGTAAAGTATACTGTATATGTAGTGGTGAGGTGCCACAGTATAGGTAAAGTATAAGGTATATGTAGTGGTGAGGTGTATATGTAAAGTATAATGTGACTGTAGTGGTGAGGTGTCACAGGATATGTAAAGTATAATGTATATGTAGTATCTGTAGTGGTTAGGTGTCACAGTATAGGTTATGTATAATGTATAAGTAGTGGTGAGGAGCCACAGTATAGGTAAAGTATAATGCATATGTAGTGGTGAGGTGTCACAGAATAGGTAAAATATAATGTGTCTGTAGTGGTGAGGTGTCACAGTAAAGGTAAAGTATACTGTATCTGTAGTGGTGAAGTGTCACCGTATAGGTAAAGCATGTAATGTGTGTCACAATGTATCTGTAGTGGTGAGGGGTCACAGTATAAGTAAAGTATAATTTATTTGAAGAGGTGAAGTGTCACAGTATAGGGAAAGTATAATGTATCTGTTGTGGTGAGGTGTCACAGTATAGGTGAATAATGTATCATGCGCATGCAGTATTACGTGGCATGGTACAAATATATCGGGAATGTATAATGTATGTGTAGTGGTGAGGTGTCACAGGATATGTAAAGTATAATGTATATGTAGGGGTGAGGTGTCACAGTATAGGTAAAATATAATGTGTCTGTAGTGGTGAGGTGTCACAGAATAGGTAAAATATAATGTGTCTGTAGTTGTGAAGTGTCACAGTATAGGTAAATTATAATGTATATGTAGTGGGTAGGTGTCACAGTATAGGTTAAGTATAATATATCTGTAGTGGTGAAGTGTCCTAGTATAGGTAAAGTATAATGTATATGTAGTGGTGAGGTGTCACAGTATAGGTGAAGTATAATGTATCTGTAGTGGTGAATTGTCACAGTATAGATAAAGTATAATGTATATGTATTGGGTAGGTGTCACAGTATATGTAAAGTATAATGTATATGTAGTGGGTAGGTGTCACAGTATATGTAAAGTATAATGTGACTGTAGTGCTGAGGTGTCACAGTATAGGTAAAGTATAATGTATCTGTAGTGGTGAAGTGTCACAGTATAGGTAAAGTATAATGTGTATGTAGTGGGTAGGTGTCACACCATAGGTAAAGTATAATATATCTGTAGTGGTGAAGTGTCACAGTATAGGTAAAGTATAATGTATATGTAGTGGTGAGGTGTCACAGTATAGGTAAAGTATAATGTATCTGTAGTGGTGAGGTGTCACAGGATATGTAAAGTATAATGTATCTGTAGTGGGTAGGTGTCACAGTAAAGGTAAAGTATAGTGTGTATGTAGTGGTGAGGTGTCACAGTAAAGGTAAAGTATACTGTATCTGTAGTGGTGAAGTGTCACAGTAAAGGTAAAGTATAATGTATCTGTAGTGGTGAGGTGTCACAGTATAGGTAAAGTATAATGTATCTGTAGTGGGTAGGTGTCACAGTATATGTAAAGTATAGTGTATATGTAGTGGTGAGGTGTCACAGTAAAGGTAAAGTATAATGTATATGTAGTGGTGATGTGTCACAGTATAGATAAAGTATAATGTATCTGTAGTGGGTGGTTGTCAAAGTATAGGTGAAGTATAATGTATATGTAGTGGTGAAGTGTCACAGTATAGGTAAAGTATAATGTATATGTAGTGGGTAGGTGTCACAGTATAGATAAAATATAATGTGTCTGTAGTGGTGAAGTGTCACAGTATAGGTAACGTATAATGTATCTTTAGTGGTGAAGTGTCACAGTATAGGTAAAGTATAATGTATCAGTAGTTGTGAGGTGTAACAGTATAGGTAAAGTATAATGTATCTGTAGTGGTGAGGTGTCAGAGTATAGGTAAAGTATAATGTATATGTAGTGGTGAGGTGTCACAGTATAGGTAAAGTATAATGTATATGTAGTGGTGAAGTGTCACAGTATAGGTAAAGTATAATATGACTGTAGTGGTGAGGTGTCACAGTAAAGGTAAAGTATAATGTATATGTAGTGTTGAGGTGTCACAGTATATGTAAAGTATAATGTATATGTAGTGGTGAGGTGTCACAGTATAGGTTAAGTATAATGTATATGTAGTGGTGAGGTGTCAAAGTAAAGGTAAAGTATAATGTATATGTAGTGGTGAGGTGTCACAGTATATGTAACGTATAATGTATATGTAGTGGTGAGGTGTCACAGTATATGTAAAGTATAATGTATATGCAGTGGTGAGGTGTCACAGTATAGGTTAAGTATAATGTATATGTAGTGGTGAGGTGTCTCAGTATATGTAAAGTATAATGTATATGTAGTGTTGAGGTGTCACAGTATATGTAAAGTATAATGTATATGCAGTGGTGAGGTGTCACAGTATAGGTTAAGTATAATGTATATGTAGTGGGTAGGTGTCACAGTATAGGTTAAGTATAATATATCTGTAGTGGTGAAGTGTCACAGTATAGGTAAAGTATAATATGACTGTAGTGGTGAGGTGTCACAGTAAAGGTAAAGTATAATGTATATGTAGTGTTGAGGTGTCACAGTATATGTAAAGTATAATGTATATGTAGTGTTGAGGTGTCACAGTATATGTAAAGTATAATGTATATGCAGTGGTGAGGTGTCACAGTATAGGTTAAGTATAATGTATATGTAGTGGTGAGGTGTCAAAGTAAAGGTAAAGTATAATGTATATGTAGTGTTGAGGTGTCACAGTATATGTAAAGTATAATGTATATGCAGTGGTGAGGTGTCACAGTATAGGTTAAGTATAATGTATATGTAGTGGGGAGGTGTCACAGTATAAGTAAAGTATAATGTGTCGGTAGTGTTGAAGTGTCACAGTATAGGTAAAGTATAATGTATCTGTAATAGGTAAAGTATAATGTATATGTAGTGGTGAGGTGTCACAGTATAGGTTAAGTATAATGTATATGTAGTGGGTAGGTGTCACAGTATAAGTAAAGTATAATGTGTCGGTAGTGGTGAAGTGTCACAGTATAGGTAAAGTATAATGTATCTGTAGTGATGAAGTGTCACAGTATAGGTAAAGTATAATGTTCTTGTAGTGGTGAGGTGTCGGTAAAGTATAAT